TTTGTAGCTCTTCTTTCGAGCTATAAGAATCAACTAAAAACCCATGTAGTTTTTTTCCTTTCTCGAGATATTGAGAAAACAATGAAGGGAAATGCATATAAGTGATAAGACAATTATATGATTTTTATGCTGACTCCGGATAAGTTTTACTCTATTACTTAGCAAAACTTAGACCGTTCGAGTTGAAATTTTTACCAAACATAGACTTTGAGGTTGGCAGTCGTTTGACATAATTTTCGGTTCGTAACATCTTACTTGGGAAAAAGCACATGTCCGATTCTTTTGCATGTGAATCATGTATTTATAGCACAAAAGTGAATAACAGTATTTGAGGTAAAAGTCTATAGAAACTCTTGAAAAGTAGCTTTATTTTGTCACTAAACGATTCCTCGCAAAATTTTGCATCTGGTTAGCCATGAATCGACCAAAAATAAAGATGGCCCAAAAATGGCTCTTATGCGCCCCCATTCTTTCAGCTGTTTCAAACTTTTCTATCAAATTGCATAAAGTGTTTTTAGATTTAATCATGCATATGAATTTTTCTCGAAAACTTTTTGGAATTACTAGTACATTTCGTTTTTGTTTCACAAGGAACTACGATTGGTCTCTTTCATTTAAAAGTCGTCATCATCATTAATTAATTCAGCCGAACCTGAATATGAGCATATAAGTTTTATTCTAATATTTCTCGGAATGAATCGAATATTTGATTAAAGTGCCAAATAGATATAATTAAAATTATATGCTCGATAATCCTTAAGAGGGGATTTGCGAGAGAACCATCCCACTCTCCATATAGGTCGCCGGGGAAGAATTCTTTTTTTTTCGATTTTATTTTCTTAAATGATAGGTCTAGGCAAACTATAGTTAAATTCAAAATATTAGGTCATTTGGTTTTACCTATGCAAAATGCGAGCTAAAACAAGTTTAAGGAGTCTATTTTGACCCTAACAAGCCGCGAAAAGTGGGCGTGCACACTATTTTGATATTTTCTCATGCATGGTTTGATCGTTTAAGATCGGGTACCTCTCATTAGATAGGGAACAGTGTAGGCTACAACAAATTTATCCAATTTCGATGATTCATATGTGAGATAAAAGAAACGCCACAGATCAAAAACCTTCCAAATCTCAAGAAATCCTACATGCTGGGATAACAGTATTTTGGGCTTTTCTTAAGTGGTGCAAGCGGTACCAACCTTCTTTTCTTACCAGACATAGATCTTGCAAAGATATATCTTTTGATATTGAGTTGTCAAGACGAAAAAAATGGGGGGGAGGGAGGCAAACTCGTATAGACCACACTGTGGCCTATCCTATCTCGTCACCATTGATCCTCCCCCACAAAGTAATACAATTTCTTCAGAAATCACGTACATGGACTTCAGATTCATATTTCATTTGAAAAACTTCGTTAGATAAGTTATTTTAAGTTGATTCCTTACTTGTACCAAGCGTGTTCAAGATCATGGGTCCACTCCATGGGTACATGATAGATATATGCCACAGTGTTTCGATAATAATTCATCAGTATTAATAGCTATCGAGTTCGGGTTTTTACTATACGATAGCCCTTTTTAAAAGCTGCAAAAATATGTCATTTCGAAACACAAAAACTACTGACCAGTTGAGACATGCTTAGCCACATTGGTCTCGGAGTACGACTTTATCCATTTTTGGGTGTGGGTGTGAATGTGAATGTAAGTTCCCTGTCTTGACACCAACACCCACCCACACGAACACCCCACACACCCACACTCACACCCCACCCACCAACACCCACACCTCACCCACCCACACCCACACCCGATAAAGTAAAGTAGATTCACTTTACTTTATCAGGTAAGTGTCACTCCTAATAACAACATCACTTGTTAACTCAATCTTATCATATATAGTCCTTCATTTTTTAGTCTTATTCCGTCTTTATCTTTTGTATGTCGTTTTGGATGTCAGTAATTTTTGTTGAAAAGCATGCCTAATAATTATATAAACAATTAAACAATAAATTCAAAAAAACATTAAAAAAAATGGCACAACTCAATGACAAACAGAAAAGAGATTTCGAAATGCAAGTGCGCTCTCCGAAAATATTTCGGAAGATTTCAGTATTACCAAACTCTTCTCCTGGACAGTAAGTTTGCAAAAATATTTATCATTGAAATGAAAACTCTAATACTTCTTTTTCTTTTCTGCCAGATCTAGTCAAGTAACAGAAACATATAGTCGATATGAATTTAAAACGAATAAAGGTTACACCACTTCACGCGGTTCACAACGCATAAGATTAAAGCTTGACACAGGTGCTGACAAAATTGTTGGGATCATGAAAAAAACTTGGAATTTGCAACGACCAGATATAATTATATTTGTAATGGGTGGAACAGACGATCATGATGCATCAGCACAACTAACAGAAATGATTCGAAAAGATTTGGTTTATGCCGCCATTAGAGCAAGTAATACATTTTTTCTCTAATAGGGATCGGAAAAACACAATTTTGATTGAATAGACGCATGGTTAATTACGTCCGGAAAAAATGTTGGTGCCGCCAAAGAAGTTGGCGAAGGCCTTAGGTATTATCGTGATTACATTGAGAAACACAAATACAATCTTCCATGTATTGGGAGTACCAGTTGGAATAGTATTGCAGGATATGCACAACGTGAGAATAAAACGAAAAATCTTACAGGAAGCGCTAGTAGTTCAAGAAGACATCCAACTCACTCACGTGATAGAAGTTCAGGCGAACATACTATTCAGATAGTTAGTTACATTTAAGACTATTTGAAATATAAAACATAAAATTTTCTTCTTCTTAATTAAATTTAGCCTGACAATGATCAGTCTGTTCTACATGATGATCGTAAACGCAAGGAAACTGAAGAATCCAATTTAGAACCGAATCATACACATTTTTTATTATTTGATGATAAAGTAAAAAATGACGATTTCGTTCTTCATTTACTAGAACACTTTGAATGGCGTTGGAGCAATAATAATTCGAACGATGAAGAAGAATCACCTATACCTATTGTCGTGGTTTTAGTTGAAAGTAATACGCAATTAAATACAACAAAAGTTAAATCAGTAAAACCTGATATTCTATTTGTGGTTCTTAAAGTATAGAAAGATTATTAGAATTATTTATTTAAGGGGGCCCCCACCTCAAAAATCAATCTCAGCTCCGGAACATCGAGATAGCATGAAACTTTGGGAATATGTTGGGGGTGTAAAAGTACGCCTATGATAAAATTTTCAGCCTCCTATCCTGATGTATTAAGTAGATACGAACCAAACAAGGGTCGAAAAATAGCTTATCGCATCACCAAAAATTCTCTATAGGTGTTCATTCAATTTGGTTCGTTGTTTTTTCGTATGAAAGAGCATGCCAGGATGCAGTGCCTCTAAGGGCCTTTTTTTTATCCTTATCTTTATGAAGGAAAAAAGGCTTCACAAGTTCAATCACTCAAAAATCCCTCAAAAAAATCATGCTTATATTATAAAGTCGCTTTTCAATATAATAATAAGAAAGCTTTATCAAAAAAAGGGCCCTCAGAGGCACTGCATTCTGACATGTTCTTTCAAACAAAAAAAAAATATTTAACTTTATAGCGGATTATAATTGACTTTTGTTGGGCATGCGTCGTTCGACTACCACTTTGAGAAAAAAAGAAAACAATTTTTGGATTTTTTCAAAAACCGCTGGTTTTTCGAATAGGGGTTGTCAAAAATCTTGAACGTTTTTCGGAAAAAAGGAGGCATCGAAGAAAAATTTTTATCGTTTATGAAAGAGCAAATGACAGGCTATCTCCCCATGTATTTAACTCAATCTTGACCATTCTGATGAAAACTAACTTTTTTGAGGGGGCCCCCTTAATTTAAATGAAACTTGACTTTTAAAGCATAGAGAGTGTACTAATGAAATTGTTGCTGAATTGCATACTTGTTATTCTGATGGTAAAATAGATAATGATGTTGTTACCAGTACGAACTCTACAATATCACAAAATATCATTTCTGTAGAAGGTTCAAAAAAAGCAAAGATTAATTCTATGTAAGTTTCGTTTAGTACATCAAATTCTTTTTCATAACAAACATGTCTATTTACGAACCAAGTTCGAATGAATCACAACTTAAAACTGAAAAAATCAATTCTGTTAGAAATGATTCATGTGAAATATTGGAAAAATGTAAACATCGTGTAACAGTTCTTAAAATTTCTAGCAATATGCATCATAGAAATTTTGAAGATGCTATTTTACTATCTTTATCTAATGGTAAACAACGATTTTATCTCGTAAATCAAAGAATTTCTTTTTGTTTTGTAACAGCTAGAAGAAAGGCGGAAAAGTCCAATCAACAACATAAGCTAGCAAACGAACTCATATTAGCTATAGTAAGCCAGAAAAAAAAGATTAATCAGTACAATAAGATTTTTCTTGATTTAGGCATGGAATAGATTTGATTATGCTCGTGAATATCTTCTTAACGATGAAACAAGACCTAAGTATACGGTATTTTATGCTCTTTTTTTCTATTGAACTTTAGTAGTTTTGCTTTGAAATTTCTATTTAATAAAAGGAAGGCGATCTACATCGTGCTCTTCTTAATGCACTTTGCCATAGTTATATTGATTGCATTGAATTACTCCTTGACTTTGGTGCATCATTTAAAAACTTAACGCATGACGATCTTAAAAGACTCTACGATCAGCCAGTATGATGACTTACAAACTAGAAAAAAATTTACTGTTTACCGTTTTTTGATATATTTTGTTATTAGTCTCATAATCCATTGCCAATTGCAGATGAAGAGGAACCATTAAAGAAAAGTCGATATTACGCTGACTATCTTAAACGGATCGGGGTACGAAACAAATCTAATCGTTCATTCTTGTTTAAAAGAAATTATGATTATAGTTTAAGACGATACACTCAGAAGAAAAAGAGAATGGCTTACCTAGTCAAAGTGCTGTACAAGATTTATTTTTATGGGCGATTTTTTCTAATCGATTTGAACTTGCGGTATACATGTATATCGAAACATGGGTAAGACTTGCATGATTAAGTAAACCTTATCAAAGAACTTATTATTCGAATGCTGAAAGTGATTTGATGTGTAATTTTTTCGAGATCGAAATGTTTGTAAGGCAATTCGATTGTCATATCATGCTAAAATTTATGAGTCACGTTACAAAATTTTGTAATTTATTCATAGTGTTAATTTGATTTCTTATGAAAAAAATTGTTTAGACGAAAAATTATTTTCATACGAGATCTATAGAAGATACATCTTTAATATATTTTTGGTGCCAAGTTCCCTGTAATGTTATATAACTCAATTGAACGTATTCGTTTTTGTCTGTAGTTAGGATGCGATATTTGAATTCAAAATGTGACAATTGATTGAATGTCAATGAGATTTTTTTTTGACTGCATTTTCATTTCAGTAAGAGAAATGGCAACAAGGTAGATATGCCGTCGTCAGTGAAATTATGACATTTATTAAATTCAAATTTCTTTTGCCTATTTCTCTAACAATCATTTTAATGATCATTTTTGTAGCAGGATGACATTGATATTACTCGAAAATAATATATTTTGTTGATATTAGACTACACCACTGAATCTATTACTTGGTGCGTATATATATCGCCATGCAACACGGTTAAAACTAAATACAGACATGCAAGAACAATATCATAAACATGCAAAGTAATTTGAATGTATTCTTCATTGATTATTTTGTTTTTTGTTTTAGTCAACTTGAGGAAATTGCTGTATCAATTATTGATATGAGTTATGAATATGATAAATTCTTTACACTTAGTCTTTTAGAACATGAAGTCGATACATTTAATCATATGACTCTATTAAAATTTGCTGAAACAGTTCAATGTAAATCATTTCTTGCATCGAGATGTGTTCAAAGATACCTTCAAAAGATATGGTAAAATTTTGATTTTATTAAAAGATTTTTCAATTAGTTAAGTTTATAGGTATGGAAATATTGATTACACAAGAAAATATATTGATCTTCGAGTAACTATTGAAAAACTAATATTAAGAACGAAGGAGTTCTTTTTCTTTTCAGATAATCGCTTGTACATTATCTATTCCTTTAATTCCAATATTTTTCTGGACTCTGCGTTATGTAGAAAAAAATAACCATGTCAATATTAAAAGTAAAACGAATCTTGAATCCTTCTTTAAAAGATTCTTTTAAATATTCAAGATTGTTCGATAGTCTGTCCAAAATCTGAACTGCATAATTCTTCTAAGCCAGAAAACCAGTAATTATTCTCTCATGAAATTTTTTATTCAAGCTTATTTTGTCTACACTTGATAGCCCAAAACATCGCTTATGGTGCAATAAAATTATATCCTTTTATAGAGCCCCCATCGTACGATTTTATCATTATGCAGTAAGAACATTTACATTAGTGCCATACATACATATTCATTTGGTTTTGGATTTTCAGATATTCTTTATCTTATTTCTGATTTTATTCAGTCCTATTATGCTTGTTAATTATTTTCCACTAAATATCTATGGTGAAAGTCGATCAGGTCATGCAGGTTTACCAATGCCAACATTTGAAATAACACTTCATGTCTGCATATGGGGTTTGATTTGTGAAGAAATTCGTCAAGTATAATATAGACTTTTATGCTATGTAAGGCTAAGAAAAAGTTTTGTAAATGTTTTAGTGGTTAGAAGGACCATATCGTCTTGATAAATGGAACCTTCTTGACATTTCTGCAATTATTTTTTATCTTGTTGGTTTCATTACCAGATTTTTTCGATGTGAAGAAACATTTATTGCTTCAAAGAAAGTTGATTCTTTTACCTTTGACATTGTGATATACTTCTATTTTGGTATAATTTTTAGAATATTCATGTGTCTTGATTTGATACTTTGGTTTGTTCGTACGTTGCATTTATTTGTTCCTTTTCGGCAATTAGGGCTAAAGTTAATTATGATTTTTTATACGGTCAGTCACTGATATTTTTTCTGATCTACTCTTTATTCTGATTTTGTTTTATTTGTGTTCATAGATGAGGGATCTATTCTTTTTTGTTTGCTTTATTTTGGTATTTTTGTTTGCATTTTCAATGGCATCATGGTCTTTACTTAGTACAGACAGTCAAGTTTATTGGTATTATAGTAGTAATGGATCTTTATTCAATGCGACTGTACCACGTACAGGTATCCATCTATGGTCAGCGCATTTGTTTCGTAATGTAACGAATTATGGTGTTTGGAAAATTTTTGGACAAGTAGAAACCATTAGTAAGAATATCATAGTTAAATTGTGTTCATGAATAATTTGTTTCTTTTTCATCTTTCTAGATGGCATAGATGCATATTCATACGTAGCATTCGCGTTGGATATAATATTCGTCGCTATTGCAAATGTACTTCTTCTTAACGTGCTCGTTGCTTTATTTAAGTATGCAAAGAAAAAAATCACGAAAAGTTATATTTAATTTATTTCTGATTTTTGTTTTCAGTGTGACAATTAGTGATGTTGCGGAACGATCAAAACAAATATGGGGTTATGAACGTTATTTAATTATTATTGAATATAAAGATAAACCTTCAATACCACCACCGTTTGGTATTCCTCATATACTATATTGCATTGTTCGATATCTGTACAAAAAATTCCAGCCATTCTCAAAACGATCACGCGGTAATTATAAATAATTTATTTATAAACGGTTGCTTTCGTTTTATGTATTTTATCGATAATAAAACTGAAGAAGATAAGAAACCAAGACTTTTGAATAATAATGATGGTATAGGAGAAGTTGAGAGCAGAATTATTGATGATCATATGAATATAAAGAAAGATCAATCTGATTTGATTTCTTTTAGTGAAAGATAGTGATTCAATCGAAAACGAATTAAAAACAGATGATGATCACTGTTGCTGGTATACGTTGAAACGTGAAAATATGGATCGAATTGTAGAAGCACTGGAAAAAATTGGATTTAAGTGAGCTTTACACACTCATTATTATCTTTAGTTTATTTGAATTCGATTTTCTTTTTAAAGATTTCATAATTGGCAAGAACAAATAAATCATAAATAGTGCACCATAAGTAAACGACGCAGGACGAACAATCCGACAGTCGGATCACATCGGAAAAGTTATCGGATCTTATCGGATCCAATAGGAATTCGTCGGAAGTTGTCGGAATCCTTGGTATTGGATTCCGACAGGAAGTTGTCGGATGTCGGAAAGTATTGGAAATGGCCAGGATCCTGTAGGAACCCTGAAAATCCGACACTTTCCAGCATCCGACAACTTCCTGTCGGAATCCGGTACCAAGGATTTCGATAATTTCCGACGAATTCCCATCGGATCCGATGGGATGAGTTCGACCCGGGGACATTTTCGATATTTTCTCAATTTGTTGCTTTATTTTTTAGGACTATAATTGTTGATCAACCATGATTTTAATCCATATTTAATGCTAAAGAAAATCTTTTTTTTTTTATTAATCAATAATACAATTCACAAAAATTTAAACTATGCTTTTAGATTTAAGTCATTAATTACTAGCATACAGAAATCTTGATGGGACGGGTGAAATATCTTTAGCTAGCGGAAAACGATAGATTTCGTACTTCCAGGATTCCAGTTGTACTCCGAAGATATTCATTGGATTTTTAGAGATTTGGTATCCCAAAAATCCACCGTTTTCTCCTTGTAAAAAAGAGAGAACACGAACTGTTTAGAAAAATGTTCTCTGGCATCGCACTATTTTGTCTACAAGACTATATCAATGAAATTGAAAAGAGAAAATTATTTTATACAATTCTAATCCTTCTTCTTCTGTTCGTAAATGGCTTTTTGAGTACAGTGTAGGTGTAGATGTGAGTAAAGAGAAGAGTCATATCCGCATCCAACCGGTGTTTATCACGAAAAGCTTAATAAACTTCTACTAATTCCAAAATAATTACATGTAATCTATTTGGCCCACAATAATTCAGATATACGATTAAATCTCATTGATACATTTTATTTCACTCAACAATTGACATAATGTATTTCTTTAACAATAACTTTCAGAATCAGTTACAAAGGACGGGGGCGCATAAGACCACAAATCGGCCCATTAGGAATTTTTCGCGATAACTCCATTGAATCATACATCATTCGAGAGAGCATGTTAAAATGAACATTTTGATGCTATTTTCATGGGATTTCGATCGAAGTTTTGAAGCGAAAAGCTATTTACAAAGTTACTCATTTTTGGGCATTAATCCAATAATCGACCATACCGATGGTAGACCCAGTTTCGGCGTAAGTTGATATGGAAAAATAGTTGTGAAATTATGTATTTGATAGCTTCTTGATAGAACTTTAGTCCTATATAAGAATTAATAGTTCCTTGTTCGATTCAGTCAGAACAAGACCTAGCATATTATTAGACACTGTTGACATATGTCCTG